TTCTACCTGGAGATAGTGACCCGCACCACACCCACCTCCCACCCCCAAGGGCAGGCAGCACTGCCAAATTTGGCTGGCACGTCATGTACAACTCACAAAGTCCCAATTTAAAACAGGTTTAATTTAGACCAAAAAAAAAATGGGAGGAAGCCAAGGCTAGGGTGGAACAGGAGGCAGGAGGGGCGACACAGACCCAGGGTATTTATTTCACCCAGGTGACGACTGGGTCTGAAATGATGAGACACAAAAACCCTCATGTTTACACCTGTGCCATTTCCATACCAATTAGCTCTTTAATAGAAAGGAAAGAGCAGGATCAGAGGGGAACACAGCTGGAGAAGACGTTCAGGTGCTACACCTTCTTGGAGCAAGGCCCTTATTATCCTGAGATATAAGCAGTTTCTTAAATCAAAAGAGCAGAGGGATCTAAATATACTCGGGGTTTTTTTGGTAAGCCGGCCGTGACTGCTACATGTGTGTGCGTGTGTGTGAGTGTGTTCATGCACATGGACCTCAGATGGGCTTCTCACGTCCAGCTCCACCTGACCTCATCCAAGAAAAGCAGAGCTGCTTCTCCCCCTCCAGGCCCTGCAGCTGCTCTCCAGGGGAAGAAAATATCAAATTTAGGGGGCCTGTGAAAACCTCAATTTAAACTGGAATCTCCTCCCACCCTCCACCCCCCTGCTCTGAAGCGCAGATCCTTCAGACGTGTCTCTCTACTTCCTCTGACCCCCAGGATGACTCTTTCCTAAAACACCATCTCCAACCCTGGGTAGCCTTTGTAACCACACACCAAAACTGTCACAGAAACTGCCACCTTTTTCCCTTCCCCGTCTTTCTCCTCCCTCCCCTCGGGTCATTGCTAAAAAAGTGACAGTGCTGCATCATCCATTGTGCAGGAGGAAAAGACAGACGGAGACCAGCAGCCCCGGACTGACTCACAGCAAAGGCAGGAAGGCTCTGTCTGCATCTCAAGAGGCTGGAGGGGGGTGTGGGGAGGGGATCAGGACAGCAAGAGGACAGAAAGGAAGCAAAAGCCCTGACCGTGACATCGGCAGGGGCGACTCCCCCTGTGCCATCGCCTAGGGCTTGGCTCCTTTTCAAGGGATCTACTGAAGAAAGCACAGAGATCCCTCTCTAGCTCTCCTCCTGGGCATAAGTTGAGTATCACTTGGGGTGAGTCCTGAACTCCCAGCTGTCCTCAGAAGACTAGCTAGGTACACAAGGAGGGCCCAGCCTACCCAGCCCGAAAAGCGTCAGCCCTCTGACCCCCTGCGAGTGACAGCTGCTGGAGAGTGGGAGACAAGTCCTGCCATTTCCTTTACTGCCTACACCCTCTTTCCCAGAATGGGTAGAGAAGGCTGAGAAAACATCTTTGGAAGACTTGCCTCAAACCAAATTAGCCACAAGTCTGTGTGCTGGTCACCTACTGCTGGGGCACCTTTAAACATCTGCTCAGTTACAGCTTCCCAAACCAAGCCAGGAGCTAAAAACCTTAGCATCTAGCCTTCTTGTCAATTTCAGCCTCATCAGTTCCAGTCTCCTTATCCAGCCCTCCCCACCCCTTTTCCCTTTCTTTCTTATCTACTTAGAATCTTGGAAGGCACCCTTGTATCAACGTAACCTTCCATTTCCGCCAGGGAAAGGCGGAATATTAGGGTTTCATATCGTTAGTCCAGGGAGCAAAGAGTTCTCAATGAATAACCAAAAGGGGGCGGAGCTGGAGCAGCTGATTCAAATTTGTTTTAAAACTAAGCTATGGATGGGTGATTACTTGTCTCAAAGCACACACCCCTGCATGTGCGTGCGTGTGCACTCGTACACATACACACACCCCCCCAGCTCAGTCTCTTGGGGAATGTGGCCACATCCTCAGGCAGCAGTAGCTAGCAATGCTGGCTCCCAGAAAACTGTGTATTTGTTTAGCAGTGGGCTGCAGACACAAGTGCATTTCATTACTCGGCACCTCCAGCTACAGTAAACAAATTTGTCAGCTCACTAGCTCATTAAGGTGCACCCCGGACACAGGGGATTTATTGAGACCTGCACAATAAAAGTGACATGAATGGATTTACTAATTTTGTCAATCACTCCAACAAACGAGCTGAAGAGGGGGAGAAAGGGGCGAAACTGGGGGAAAGAAAGGAAAGAGGTAAAAAGGAAGAAGAAAGTTGAGTTTGGTTTGCAAGAGAGAATCAGCGGGTTAAAATGGGGCCAGATCTGTGCTTCGATGCCTGGCTACACGACTGCCTCCCCGTTCCATCTACCCCTTGCTGGGCCGCCCTGCCCAGGGCGCACGGGCCCCTGGCAGAAAGGTGCCAAGGGCAACTGCAAGCTGTCAGACCAGGTCCCGGATCCCTGGCGGTGCTGCACCAGTGGGAACACGCTCCCAAGTAGCAGCCTCCTCCGCATCAGAAGGGACTAGCTGCCTCTCCTGGAACCTCCAACCCACACTGCAGTCCATCCCCAGCCCAGCTCCTGGACCCTTCCAGACATTCCAGAACGAATCCAAACTTCCACCACAAGGGCAAAGAGAGGAAGAAGGAAAGGGAGCCGGTGTGAGTGGAGTTGGGGCAGGGGGGAGTAAATCCGGAGAAGTATGCGGCCCTCTGGTCTGTAACTTTCAAAATGACAGCAGGACTGGGGCAAAGGTCATGGGGTCCAAGGCCTTAAGCACCTCCGCCAGCTGTGGCGGTGCAGCCCGGAGCCCGCAGGACGCCTGCCCGTATAAATCAGCCGCAAGCAGCACCCGCTGGGGGCGAGGACAATGGGCCCCCACGGGGGTGGGAGGCAGGACAATGGGGCCCGGCCAGTGCGCAGGCCCGGAACAAATGCGCCCTGGCACCACGGGGGCCCCCATTTGTGAAACTAATTGGCCCACGATTGAAAAATTGGACCAACTTCAACAGCCCCGAGAGGAGAGGGCGGCCCGTAGTCACCTAACCTAGCCCAGCTCTGCAGAGCCGGCCTGGCCCAGCCCTGGGGGTCTGAAATGAGAGCAGCTCTCAGGTGCTGCCAGCTCACGGAGGGAGGGAGATGGGACCTTTGAGATGGGGCTGGCCGTCTGGGGAGGAGGAGGGGCTGGGCAGGTGGGCATCTTGCCTCCTGGAAGGACCGGTGCCCAGCTTCTCCTCCCAAGAGCAGTGAAGGACTGACTTTCTCGGTTTCTCTACGCTGCCTGTTCTGCAGGATAAAGCTCCAAGGAAAGAGGCAGGTACCTGTTTACCCTCTGGGTTCCGGAAACCAAAGGGCTCCCGACTTCCCTCCTTTCGGGGTAGATGGGTACAAATAAACACAGAGCTAAAAAGGGCTCCTTCCTCCGTCCAGCCTCCCTGGAGTGTGTTCAGCTCCACGTCCTCCGCCTGTGGCTGCTGTGGGAGGCCTGCAGCTCTCTGTAAGGCTGCATAAGAGCTGGCCTGTAAGCAGCGAGGGTCCCTCAGCCTCTAACTCACCTGGTCCTAAGGCTTCTGGGAAAGAAGCCCTGAAGTGTGTGATGGGAAGTCAGGCTGGTGTGTGAGAGGTCTGGCCTCCTGCCCTATCCTTTCCTGTGATTTCTCACTCCAGGGTCCCCAATGAAGAGACGGAAAGCACTGGAGTCTTTGGCCAGAAGGCCTGTCCTCAAGTCCTGGCTCAGTGGCTAACTTGCTGTGCACTCCCAAGTAGGTAACTGGACCTCTCTGGGCCTCAGTTTCCTCACCAGCAAAATGAAGGTGGAAGTAAATGATTTTCAAGGGTTCCCCACACTCTCACGATCTCTAATTCTAGGCCTACTGCAGAGGATGCTGGAAGGCTGCAAGGTCTTTCTCCCACTGAGACGCATTTCTTATATTCTCCTTCAAAATCTCACTTAATAGCCTTATTTCAGTTAAAAAGAATCTTGGGTCTTCATTGGGAACCACTGTTTTAAACAAAGGGACAGTTACAGGCGAGGCACAGAAAAGACAGAAGCGTGACGGAGCATTTGCTTTGACTCATCCAGGTCTCTCCCTCTGAGCCCCCAAGCAGCCCTGAGAGATGGGGGTGTTTGAAAGATGGGGAAAGCGAGACTCAAAAGAATCTGATGGGCCCATTCTCTCAGGGAGCCACCAGTCCAGCCAGTACCTCCCAGAACTGACCATACACCCAGAAGGGCAATTCTTGAGGCGCTGGGTCTAGAGTGCCTTTCGGCCTCTCTGTGCTGGGCGAGGGCCAGGCTGCTGGGGTGGCAGAGGGGAGCAGGGTCTGTCTCTCCCATGCCCTCCACACCGGGTGACAGAAAAAACAACCGAGAGGGTGGCTCAGAGAACCAGAGCCTCTGAATCCAGTGGTTTCATTTCCTTACAACGTTGCCCAATACATAGTTGGCACTTGAATTCTGAGCAGTGTGTTGAGAGCTTCCTGGGAGGATGTCGAGCTTCCACCTGAAGATGAAACCCAATTTCCTGATTTGTAC